CATCCCTCCACACCCACCCACATCCCCCCACACCCCTTCCAACCCCTTTCTTGCAAACCCCACATCTCGCCATCACACATCCATCATGTGATTAAAAAAAAAACAAAAGCAAACTTTAAAATGTATAGATATTTAGAATTTATTTTATTATGATGATAGTGATACTTGTAGACTTCCAAATTGCTTTAATATTGTAAATATAGCAATAAAACACGGCCCAACTGATCTCTCACATGCTCGCTCTCGTCTGTCTGTCTCTATTATAGTGGTCTTTTGTTCTATTTGTGGAAGAACATGGACTTCAGGGTATTTTAAAGTGTGAATTTGAGATGCTGCTTCAGCAGTCCAGCTGCCACAACGGGTAGTGTCCCCAGATACCAAGTGGCCGGGCCCCAGAAGCTCCTGAGAGCAACTGGATCTGAGCTGCTTGCCTGGGCAGCTTTTTATACTGCTGGGACCAGTACAGGTGCTGGCCCCGGGCTGTAGCTCCCCCTGGCTGCAGATCCAGGAGGAGCTAGGCAGGGTTATTTTGCCCCAAGTGGCACAATTTGCCCCACACCAAAGCGTATATGTGGGCACGTGCACTGAGGCAAAAAGCCCCAGCTCAAATTTGTGCAGCTTCTATTTGAGTTGCTCTGAAGCACACATGCCTGCCCATATAATTTATTGTCACTGTGAGTCAAAATACTTACACATGCACTACAAGTATGCTTTTCTTTTCCTAGACTTCGAGTCAGCCTTCAAAGAGGAAGTTGCCAGAATGGTTTGGGACTTCAAAGCAGACAGCTCCTTCCGATACTTCTGGCAAGAAACCAAAAATTGGAGCAAAAAAAGGACTCTTTGGTTGAACTAGGAAATAACAAATGCATTTTTTTCCCCTTTAAAGGTGCTTGGGGACACGCACATGATTGTTTTCATTATGCCATTCTAAATCATGTGGTAAACAGTACACTATGAAAGGTGTACTTGGTTTCCTGAATAAACAGTATTGCAGAGGTGAAACAAAGTACCAAGCTTGAACTGAGGGGCTCCAGTTTCAGCCCTTGAACTTCTCAGTGCATGGACAGAACCAAGTTACAATATCCCAAATCCAAGTATGCTCCACTCTTCACTGTGTGAATTTTCCTTATTAATTGGATAATTCACCATTGTCTAAATTTGAAAACTTGGGACAGCTGAAGGGAAGTCACAATTGAGCTGAATGTGAGCTGAATGTTGTCTTCATGAAGAATGTATTCATTACACAAGCTTTTTCAACCGGCATTGGCTTTATTCCACAGGTGTCTATGTTTAAGGTTGGTAGTAGACTGAGTTTGGAAAAATGATAAATATCATATAGAGGAACACAGGGTGTGTTACCCCTTCCTCATACCCACAAACTTAAAATGTTATGTTGCTGCTAGTACACACAGAATGTGTTGTATTGTGTTAGCATTCCACACTTACTAAAAGTAAAACTGCCTTGATAGTGATGTGCGGTATCTCTGATGCAAGATTTACTGTATGGAACTTTTTGTATTATTATTAAACTTTAAAAAGTGCTTAATTTCATGTAGAAAAACACGAGACAATTTTTTTAAGTGTCTTTAGGCAGTTTGTACTAGCATTAAGGTATACTTTTTATAGTAAAGTGTTATATAAAGGTTCAAAAAGTACTTATTTATTACTCATCTTTCTCTAGTCTTGTTCATTTATATTTCTTTTCTTGAAATCAAAATTTATCTAACTTAGGGCTGTCAAATGATTTTGAAAAAATCAATCATGATTAGGTGCATGATTAAAAAACATAGTCGCAATGAATCACAATTTAAATCGCACAGATAAAAACTCAAAATTATGCAGGTACTTTGTATGGTTGGGATGGGTGTAGGGTATATGTGTGTGGGTGGAATTTGTGAAAGTGTGAAGGAACTGTGGGTGTGTGTATGGGGTTTGGAGCCTGGG